TGTCCTCCTCAGTCCCCTCTGGTAGCTAATGTGCCATAGCCTACCTCTCCCTCCAGTTTGCTCTTTAAGCAAGATAAGTGAAATTATTCTAGTTAAACCCAAAGAAAACTTGGTTTCACAGCAGATGAGAAAGAGTTAACAGCTGAGAGGGGGGGGGAATAAATCAGTTTTGCTGCTACAGGATTGTAACATGGAATATGCCCTATGAACATCTTACACAATTCCCATTCTACAGTAATAGTGAACACTCCCTAAAGCAAACGAGGGCAGTCTAAAAAGGGTGTTCTCCTTAAAAACATCATAATGTTCAAATTAGAATGCAAGGCCAAAACAGTTTGGAATATTTACCATCATGATTTATGGTATGGTTTTTGTGTGCTTACAGGAGCCAAGCACAGTTTCATAGCAAGAGAAATTATTTTCTTATGAAATTACATGTTACGCATTTTTTTATGCTAAATAAGACATGAACTTTAACTCCAGATCTTTGTAAGGCTGAACTTTTCATAACAGTACTTATACTTGCTCCAGTTTCTCATTTTAGGAAGCTTATCAGAAAATGTCTGAAAATGTAATGAGTTCTACCTGTTAATAAATTTCAATCAATTTAGCAATAAGCAGCTGGGGAAAAAGATGGACGAACACACACACAGAGGGAAAATATGATCACAGTAAGCCCCGTTTCCTTAGAAAACTTGGTTAAAAGTATAAAAACAATATACACAATCCCAGAGACAGCAGATAACATCAAGCTGGGAGCTCACTGTGCCATGTGACAGCATGCTCTCTATTATTTTCACTGTAGAAGAGACTGTACAATAAAAAATATCTGAAATCAGAGCAAAAAAGTTCTACCTTCAAGCCAAGAAAAACAACATGGATGCTAGGGAAGGCATAAGGAAAGGTCCGAAAATTATGAACAGCTAACTTCTTTCTCTCTCAAGAGGGGGAAGAAGTGAGTTGACAAGATACCTCCTTCCTTCTTTCCTTCCTTCAATTTCTAATGTGGGCATTTCTCCCAGACATATTTTCTCTCCATGTGTCCATGTTAATTTTCCATGGTCCTCCCTTTGTCATTCTCCTGTATTTACTACCTCCACTCAGTCCTCAAGCCTCTTGTTACTTAATTCTCATTGCTCTTAATCAAAACTAACCACCTTCTGCAGAACATGAAAGAAAAAGGCTCCTCTTTTAGCTAAAGTCTACAGTAGGTGATCATTATGACACACTAACATGTTTAACATCATCACTTAAAACCAGTATCTGTTACTTAGTAGCACAAGTGCTGCCAAGTGAAAATGTGTGGCACATATATGTTAAAAATATTTAAAGATTATGTATTTGTAGAGTGAAGCAGTGGGGTTTTTAAATGCAAGAAATTCGCTAGTATGTGAGGGGTGGTTTTGGATAGCTTACATTGAACTTCAAATAATGCAAGTGAACCATACCTGATCGATGCCTTTCTTGCATGATTTTGGCCTTGCAAGTTGGATGCAGGCAAAATGAAATCTTTTAAAATCTACCCCACTTTACTTTTCTCTTAAAAAAATAAAATAAATCAAAATCAAACACGTTTGGACATTAATTAAACACAGGAAACAGAGAGTTTATACCAAAGCCTATGTCCAAAGACTAAATTAAAGCTTACTTTGGCAAATTGTTCATACTGGCCATTTGGGAGGGGTGGGGAAATTGTTCAGACAGAAGGAAGAATAGGAAGAACTTGCTTGTCTTGGCTACTTTCTCTCATTTTTCCATTCTTTCTTTCTTTCTTCTCCTGTGTGTTAACACCCACAGATTTCCTAATGAGATGGTATGCGACCCACCACACACTGCTCTGTGGGTGTAACTTACATGAAAAAGAAATGTAAATTAACACGTAACTTGCAAGGTTATTTATATTATGTGCCACAAAACTGAAAGGTGCTATTAAATAATACTGATCTTAGACATAATGTTAATACTAAAAAGAAATTGATAGGCGAAATTTTTCTCTTCAAAATAGGTATGGTAGAGAGCCAGCTTGACAACAGTCTTCTCTGCTCAGCAGATCTAGACAGCAGGATGAGATCTGCTCATCAAAGGAGTTTGGCTACTATTTCTGAAGAAAATCCTAATACATCATGTTTTGATATTGGAGGAAATCTAAAATCTTACTAATACTGGTCTAATAATTCTGATTCTAATAAATTTTGAATACATCCTGCAATTTGCAGAGCAAACTAATTATAACTGACCTGATGCAAGTTCAAATAGGGGTGGAATGTTGACCTGGGATACTTTAAGTAGTAAATAACCAGCTAATAAGCATTTTAATGTTCCTTCTATAGATACACTCTTCCTTACAATAGTGGGGGTTTTACAGCAGTGAAACTCTAGAAACAGACTTGCATAATTCTGAGCAGAAGAAACCACAGCCAGTTTGAAGAGCTCAAAAACTTTTAATAACCTCCAAATGCAACAATAGCTGCAAGCTTACACATTTCACAAGCAGCACCTACAATATGTGCACAGAGTTAGCCACATATCAAGCTTGGGCATTTCTTTGTATACTACAAAACAGTGTCAGCCAAACGCTGGCCAGCTATCCTGCACTTCATCTGTTTGTGAGAAAACACAAAAGCATCTCATTGTACTCCACAAACAGACCCTGTGATTCTAGAGAGGAAGGCAAAACACATGAGGTTTTGGAGCCACGTTTGAATGGCTCCAAAACCATTCATTTGAATGATGATAACTGCTAGAGACTGTTAGGCTTGTGGCTCACCTAAAAGGGTCAGTCCCTTAGAGGCAGGTCCCAGTTGCTCCAGTGAACACCCACCTACTCTATTATTTCCTTCTCAGGTAAGAACAGACTTGAATGTAACTTGAATAAACTTGATTCTTGGACACGAACAAAGCACTTCTTTCTTATAAATTACAGCCCTGAGCAAAACAGGCTGAGAGAAGAGGAAAGAGTTGGATTTGGAAGTTAAGTTCAACATGAATGTTCATTATCACAGTTTTCCTCCTTTATTTCTTTAGTGTTAATTTAATGACGGTGGGATTAACTGCAGATAACTGATGGAACGGGAATTCTGCCTCATCCAAAGTAAATATTCTTTAATCTAAAACTGTCACAGATACTACTGTTGATCTCCTCGAGTGCTTAATGTTGATCTCCCATATCCTTAAGTTTTTCATTTTCAGGAAATAAGGGGGAAGAGCCAAGAAGATCAGTTCACAACCCTGGGACAGACTACCAGTGTTTTTACTGAAAACTTCATGCTATAAAGAGAATCTGAGGCCATCCCAAATTAGTGTTGTATCTGTCTGCACATATAAAAAGAATTATTATGTCTGTCAGTTTTATTGAACAAAACCATTGGTTTTGTTTTTATTGAGGTAGAAAAAGAAAATGCAGAAAAACCTCATCAAATCTCAGAAATTCTGATTCTACCTTCTGTAACATTCCTCCGCTTTCACCGTAAGAAAGTTCAAACTGTTCTCTCAAAACCAGAGAAGTACAGGGATCTGAAATCTCATGCATTTTATAAACATGAATAATGTTTTAAAGGGATAAAATGTAGTTGCAACTTGCACGAAAAAAAAAAGGGCTTGGAAAGCCTTTAGTGTCCTGAAGCACTTTTTGCTTATGCGGCATTGTGCTGCTGTGGGTGGGAAAAAACCCTCCTGTCATGCCATAACAATCTGGCTCCTGTCTATGCCTCAAATTTTGCAATAAGCAGCCAACCATACAGTATTTAACCTGTGTTTATTAAAAACATTAATTATTATCGATCATGGTATTTAAAGCTGCGACCATCAACTAGAATTCTATAGGATTATACCTTCTCAATGACTAAAAACCTTAAGAGGCAAAGAATTTTTCAGAATTTAATATAATATACATTGAATTCAAAAATTTCTATCAGTATTGTACACTCTAAGTACGTAATTGCATTCACTGTGGAATTCATATTTCAGCAGAGATCTATTTCCATATATTTAAGGAAACATGAGAAACTGTAGCCAACACAGGGATTTACTACTGCAGCCCTTCTTTTCTGTGATAAGTTTATAACATGCTCCAGACTGGTAATAAGAGAAGGAAAAAAAGGCCATTATTTCCTAAGAACTATTTAAAAATCAACTGCTTGGGTGACAGAACACCAACAGATAAGCCTATCAAGTGTAAAACTTACCATGATGGCCACAACAGCTAGTGAAGTAACATGAAACAAAACCTGGCAAGCCATTTAGCCCCAAAGCTGATCTAATATTACAGCAGAAGCTACACTGATCATTATCTTTAGTTTAAAACATGCATGTAACTGAAATTGCACCTATTAGTCTCACCACCTTCACATACAAATATTAAAAAAAAATTGGTAAATACTCTTATTACTGTTCTTCTTTGCACAGTGACTACTCCCAATGTTATAGATGCTACTGCCAAGCCTACAGCAACACCGCCGAAACAGCAAATGCTGTTTGTCACATCTTAGCATCTTATTAAGGCTGAAGAGATTGTTAGAAGATGGAGAAGATATTATTTCTTAATTAAGAACTTCTAAATGTTCAAGTGAAAAGAAGAATTAATAAGCCAGCAAGATTTCCATGTATTTTGGAGGACAAAGGATTATACGGTTTATTCTTTTTTATTCCAATGATAGGCTCTTATACTACAGCCTTAAATTCATTTTTCAGTAACACAGAAAATTCAAACCCACTTGGTTTTTTCAATAACATACCTGAAGTAACTTCAGACCCAAACACCAGCCATTTCAGGCTTCTTGGCTTTCATGATGGCAAATTCATAGAATAGTTTGGGTTGGAAAGCACCTTAAGATCATCCAGTTCCAACCCCCCTGCCATGGGCAGGGACACCTCACACTAAACCATGTCACCCAAGGCTCTGTCCAACCTGGACTTGAATTCCTCACAGAAAAAAAATAAAGAACAGCAGTTTCCATCTATACTTCATGTTACTTTACTTCACAATAAGTCATTTGTTTTACCTGTAAGAAACAGAGGACCAGATGGTGCACGTTCCGTTGACTTCCACTGACCACGTCCTTTAGGTGCCTCCAAGTACTGTTTGACCCTTGAAGAAACCACCTCCTCTAGCAGCATGCAGACGTTCTGAAAGAGTAACCATCGGGCTATTTAGATCTATATATACATATGCCCACAGACACACAGCAGAAATCAATACAAAATCACTCCCTTTCACATAAAAGGGAAAAACAGCTGTAATTAAGTACTGAGGTATTATACAAATGCGAGAAACACAATTTAGAAAATATAACATCAGGTATTTAAGCAAAGAATTAGTAAAAATCCTTGCAGAAACTGTCAACACACTATTTGGCTGCAAGAATCCTTATCAACCACAGCAGGTACCTTGTTTCAATTCAGGGTAATTCTGGGGCAAAGACTTGGAGCTGATTAGGTCACAGCAACCTAATTTCTCTAGTTCCTTTTAATTTTTCTGCTCCTGAATATAACTGTTCATATCTTTTCATACTTCCTTCAGCAAACCATAAGGAAAACCACATAAGAACAAACACTTCAGCCAGAATAACCATAGAAAAAGTAAAAATTTGGAGAAAACACAAAAAATTAATCTCTTGAATACAAGAGTAAGTTTTCAAATTAATATATCCACACTTATTTGAGATTTTTACCTCAGTATTCTCATTTTTCATCATGCACAATAATGTGCTCACAAAAATGATAATTTGTGGCACACAGAAATACCATTTTACCTTTTTATAGTGTTTGGACAAGAGACAAAATTGTTTTAGTAGAATCTAAACTAAAATATCTTGGCTTCAAATTTACTTTTGATGAATAGAAAGTATGTAGCGCAACAAATCTTTAACATATTGCTCTGAGTAAAAACAATGCACATACACTGGTCAACCACAAACAGTATTTTCTCTCCTTACAGTAAGAAATACCTTTTTCCTTTCTGCTTGAAGAGTACAATTATAAAACACTATATTTACTTATTCTTCTGTTTAACTCATTAAAGTGATGTCATTACACATACCTTCACAGGATTATACATTCAGGTTAGAATGAAAAGGTCTAGAAAGCAGTGGAAACACAATGTGCATTTAATTCCTTCTGCAACAATAAGGATGAGCATGCCCACCCTTAATTTACATGTAAAAGAATTCACTTGTTACGTTTATGAAAGTATTATTTAAATTCAAGAAGTATATTTAAAAAATATATACAAGAGCAGGATTTGAGACAATAGTCTGTATGTACTTTCAACCACTAAAAGAACTTGTGAGACCTTCTGCATAGATGGAGAGGGATCATAGCAGTGACATGAACTGAAATCAGTACTTGAAGTACAAAGGTAAAACATTGACTTTGTTATTCCAGGGGAAAAGAGGCAGCAAGGCCAGGAAAATTTGAAGGGCAGAGAGAGGGGAAAGCTCCCAAACCTGCATCTCCCAGCAACCCTGAGATGGGACTACGTACAACATATGTGACACCAGTGTGCAAGGCATGGTTGCTACAACACCTACTGAGACAACGCGAACTTTATTTCCTCACACCAGACTCCTGCTTATGGGCACTCATTTAGTTCCCCAACTGCTCTATGTGCCCCATGTTCCAAGCAGGAACTGGCTGCTCCCTGCTCCTGCCTGGGACTGCAGTGTTTGCTATGAAGAGCCTCTGACTTTCCTCCGGGGTGAGCAGGGAATCAGCAGAAATCGTGTTTGTGTTACAACAGAGCTAAGAGGCATCTGCTTTTCCCACAGGCAAGCAAGAGAGCTGCACCACCACTGTTTCCCAGAAACTGGGAAAAAAAAACAAATCACCAAAATGTAGAAAACTGCTTGTGATGAGTATGAATAGCTCCCCTAAAACACATGTAGGCATAATCTGCCTCTAAGACCTTTTTCTTCCCACTTTAACAAAGATTCTGCATAGGACTTTCAGGAAGAGAATTATAAAGCTATTGGAATCACACTTCTGGGTTGTTGAAAATATGCAACCTTTGTACTTCACTCAAGATCTGCGGTCACAGAAATGCAATGAATGCTGCCCTGTCATGCCTCTTTATTAAGTCAATCATGAGCTAATTTCCTGAAATTCATATCTTTTGTTTTGGCAGTCTTACAAAATACATTTGGAAAACACTTAAAAGTCAGATAACCAGGATAGTAAACCTGCTTATAAAAAGAAAGGGGTAAGGAGTATTAATTCAGTCAAAAAAAAGAAGTCGAAAAGATTTCCCCTGTTTTCTTCCTTCTCAGCTTAATAAAGCACAAATTGGATGAACCACATACTTAAATATTCAGCTTTCCCTCCCTCGGGATATTCATTTATTGTTTCTTTTAATTCTATTGAAGTGTATTACTTTGAGACGTTTGGGGACGCTCTCCAGTGACAAGTTAATTCTGCCATGATTAGGAAAACTATCTGCTGAAAATTGCCGTAACGGAGACTTGCGGGAAAGTCCACAGGCATCTCAAACACGTCCTGCGCTCGTTTTCAACAGGGAACTTCTCAAGTTCCCACCCAGGCTGAAAGAGGGGAAAACTCCTGCCAGTAACTCATCACAAGCTTGTAGCAGAAATCACAGAGAGGCTGATGAAAGTTACAGTCCTAATTTTGCTGCTCACTGATGCACTGATTTTCCCATTTTTCAGCTGTTGTCAGGATATACGCCTCAGAATAAAGATGGGGAGTTTCTTTTCCTAAGATGCAATGGTTCTACTATAGTTTGTCATTGTTTTCCTGCACTCCCTAAATGCAACATCATTCCCATTTCTCAGAACGAGAAACAATTAATAAAAAGATATTCCACCAACAAACACTGCAAAAACCATACCTGTCACAATCTGTTTCATATCACTGAGGGTAATTTACAAACATTCATGAGAAGTATGTTTTTAAAATTAAAAGTCAAGGAAAAAGAATGAGAACAGCATGCACACACGCATGGGTGCACACACACAGAGTTGAAAAATTAAAAGGCAAATTGAAAGTGGTCATTAGTGACTCAAAAAGCACATATGGCTGACTTTGGGGTCCCACAGCAACCCTTGATGGGTAGGTATAACTAACAATGTTCTCATAACACTGAAAAATCCTGAACAGTTCAAGGCAATCCAACTTTTTCCCTGCAGCCACATGCTTTTGAAGTAGGATTGATATTTGTTGTACCTCTTTCTCATGATCTGAAAACCAGCTGGTGTCTTTACTGGAGCCTTGAGGCAAAATATGAACATCCACCAAAACAGCAAAGTTCCCACACTGGAAAAGAAAAAAAAGAAAGGAGAAAAAAAAATGTTCAACTGTAGCTGCTGGGAAGCGCATGTCAAGCAGACAGGAGGAAAACAATCAGGTAAGCACATGCATCTGATTCAGAGATACAACAGGCACAACTTAAAACTGTGAAAAATTATGGAGTTACAAATTTACCATTGTTTGTGAGCTTAATGAGAAACAAGAGCACCAGACCTGTATCTTGGATTGCTCACTGAAAAGCTGAAAAAATAACAACAAACACATGGAATTTTCTTCTGCTATATGCCACTTTTAAATCTGAGTTCTAGCAAACGTTAACATGTGTAGAATTAGCCATACCTACGCTATCTCCCATATTCTGTTTTCTGAAAATGTAGTACCATACTAATGGTCTAGTTTGCATTTTAAATTTATTAACTCCTTAAAAACTCGGCTTCTTTAGATGTCTCTCCAAACTACTTAATGTAAAAAACAGTATGTTTAAAGAACTTGTGGTGACTACCTAATATTCATTTGTCACTTAGCAAATACTATACTTGGAATGGTTAAATGATAATAAGGCTAACCTATAAATAAAAACTGTATCACAGAATCTTAGAATGGTTTGGGTTGGAGAAGACCTTAAGATCATCCAGCTCCAACCTCCTGTCATAGGCAGGGGGACACCTCACACTAGACCATGTCACCCAAGGCTCTGTCCAACCTGGCCCTGAACACTGCCGGCACAGAGCATTCACCACTTCTTTGGACAGCCTGTTCCAGTGCCTCACCACTCTTCACAGTAAAGAGCTTCTTCCTTGTATCTAACCTGAACTTCTCCCGTTCTAGCTTAAACCCGTCACCCCTTGTCCTGTTGCTACAGTCCCTGATGAAGAGTCCCTCTCCAGCATCCTTGCAGGCCCCCTTCAGGTATCAGAAGGCTGCTATGGATGGTATCAAGTACAGCCCAAGACACACCAACTATTTCTGAAATTCCTTCATAGACATTGAGGAGAACTTGACATAGGAGGCTTAATTACTTTCACTCATCAGTACCTCAGTCATTACAATGAGCTTCTAAAACATAAGGAAGAGTGAATGGCACAAACACTTGTCCTTAGTTCCACTGTGCACCAACTCACCCCTTTTTCATTCCAGTAAAAAAAGATAATATTCCCCTTTTTCCCACCCAGCAGTGTGGGGCATTACGAGGTAATGCTTTCCCTTTACTGTAACACAGCACCACATCTCACTCAGACACCCTTTATCTGAACAATTCAAAAGGTAAAAAGCCAATTTCATCACTGTTTTGGCTGCTTGTACTGCACTTGTGATGCAATAAACTCACTCTTTGAGAAGACTGAACATGTGCAGTCACGGCAATTGCACATCCGGAATGTCTGATCAAATAGAAACAACATCCTGATTCCAGACAAATCTCGACTGTGTGTGTACAAACCAGCATTAGACTGCTCCGGTTTCAAGTGGACGCTGCAGTGCACACTTCCTGTCCTAACTCTCCCTCTCTCCATATTTGTGCTTCGCTGCCAAACATCTGCAAACCCCACACCAGAATTCCAGTTGCTAACAGAATTAGTTCTAGAAAGAATACGATATGTATTTTTACACTACAGTTGTACACCACCTACAGTCTAAGAGAGTATATCTATATCTTAGATTTATGGTATAGCACAAGTAGAGACTTTGAGAGTACCCTCACCTGTACAGTTAATACAAATCACAAGAAGGTTTAGCATCAATTTTATTAATCATGACAGCCTACCTGGTAAAGTAGAAACTTTTGCTTTTTACAACACTTAGATCTGTAAATTATCCATGAGCAGAACTATTTAAATAATGATTTAAATCTAATTTAAGATATATTTCACCACCAGTGTTATATTGAAGCTAGAATGCAAAACTTTGGCACATGAGTCAGTCATTGTGAAATCCTTTTGAGAAACTTCTAAGTTACTTATAGGTATCAGTCATTGAAAGAGCAGAATGCTTTGATGTGTTTTATCAAAAGGCTTCTCTTTCCTCTAGAGAACCAAGAATTACCAGATGGCTGCAACAGCAAACCTCTCTGAGCTTTAAATTGATGACAAAATATCTCTCAAAAATCTCTGGTGAATCATTAGTCAGCTCCAGCAAACTTTTGAGTTGACTACTTAACTTCAAAGTTAGCAGACACTGCCTATTATGAAGTGAAAGCCACTAAATTATTCATGGTTCAGCACTTACAACAACGAACAAGTATTTGGTACATCAAGAAAATTCAAATTACCAAAAGCTACATGTTAGCTTGCATAATTTTCTACTGACTACAGAAACTTGACATATAGATACAGATGCAAAGTATAGACCTGCTTTTCAAGGAGAGATAATGTTTGTAATTATTTTCTTCTGAACGGCAATATTTGTCTCAGTTGCCTTGAAAACAACTAGAAAAAAAAGAAAATAACAAGCCATATTTGAAACCAGATAATGGAACAGCTCAAAATAGCCTTCAAAATATTACAAACAGACCAAACATTTGTATTACTTCAAAGAAAAACAAATATATATGAATAATATGTAAATCCTTGTAACAAACAAGCTTTCCCAATGGAAGATTTCTTTCCCTCTGTTTTGGAGCAATTTTCTTGTGGATGGCATACCTGGAACTATTTCAACATCCAAAAGCCATTAGCTTTGCCATTCAATTAGAATAGCTTTGGGACAGGACACAAGGAAGCAGAACTGTCACAGAAAAAGAGGAATATGGGGAGTAAGATAATGTAAGCACAGATTTTTCTGGGTCTTGCTACCTTTTACTTTTTTTAAGTCCTGAACACAATATAAGCAACAGCTCCACGCAGGCTCCTTTGCACTCTCAAATTATGCAATACATGGTATACACTACACTGTATTTATACCCTGTAATGCCTTCACATGGTACAGCTTTCTATATGGTACTTACACTAGAAAGCTCAATAGAGCTTTGGCCATTCCAGCAGCAAAGGAAAAGTTCTCTGTACAGACTAAATTCTAATACAAGTAACTGTGAGGAACAGAGGGAATTGGAAGCAAAATGTATACTGCTTATATTAACATTTGATGATCTTCTACATGTTTCTAAATAATTTTAATTTGTATTCTGGAGACATGCAATTCTGTGAAAATACCAGAATCATACCATTGTGTTGGAAGGGACCTGAAAGCTCATGCAGTTTCAACACTGCCATGAGCAGGGACACATCCAACCCGGCCTTGAATACTGCCAGGAATGGAACAGCCACAGCTTCTCTGCACAACCTGTGCCAGTGTCTCATCACACTCAGAAAAGAATTTCCTTCTCAATTTCTAATCTAAATGTACGTTCTTTCATCTCAGAGCCCTTCCTCTTTGCCCTATCACTACACATCCTTGTAAAAATTCCCTCTCCAAACTTCTTCTAGGTCCCTGTTAGATACTTTTATTTTAGATGAAAAGAAGTTGTGGCTTCAAGAAGTTAACTTGTGGGTCCTCAGTACTGTAAGTGAAAAGGGAAACCAAAAGTAGAGAAATTTTTAATTCTATGTTTTTACAGAATCTCAATCTAAAAATTTCCACTAAAAATTATTTTCAAAGACACGATTCTCAAAACTGAAACCCAAAAGCCTGATTTAATGGGAAGCACTTTTGTCAAGAATCAGTAGAAAAACACTTCACCAGAAAACTCACGACAGAAACAGATGCTCGAATTTGATATCGTCCGTAGTTTCAGAACTCAAAACTTTTCAATTTTACAAGTTGGTTTTTAATGTTAAAAGGACTTACTGTAACAATCTAATAACATTCACTGTGTTATTAAACAAAGGGCTTGAAAAGAGCTCAAAATGTTGTTCGTGTATTGTTGTAGAGTAATGGCATCTAATTCAGAACATATTTTCTGGAATCAAACTGTTTACACAAATACATCAAACACTTCATGGATTCTGCAAATGGAAAAGATAACCAGAAGCATAATATAAACAGAATGAATAGCAGTGTATAGTGGTAGGTCAGTCAAGGCAAGTCATCTGCTCAAAACCTGTTAAAACCTTGGCCCAGGAGAAGCACATATTAGACAGTGGAATATTATCTCAAATCTTCCAATGAGCAGATAAACACAAATACTTTTTATTCCTGTACTCAAGAATACTTATTTTTACAATACATGGCTACTCTCATTTCTTCAAACCTCATGACTTCAAATATCATAAAACCAATTATTATAAACAAAAAGACTTGGGATGCTGAGGATCAGCATGGTGAGTTTGTATTCAGTTATATCATTCCCAATGTGCTGCATCATTAAACTTGACAGGACTGGAGAGCCAGCCTCCCAAGACACATATTAGCATTTCCCATTGCTGTAATTATTCTACAGATGCAGGATGTAGGGTCAGTGGAAAAGGAAACACATGTGATGGTGGTGAGACATTGGAACAGGTCACCCAAACAAGTGGCAAATGCTCCATCCTTGGCAGTGTTCATGGCCAGGCTGGACAGAGCCTTTGGCAACATGGTCTAGCGTGAGGTGTCCCTGACTATGGCAGGGAGTTGTAACTGGATGATCTTGAGGTCCTTTCCAACCCAAAACATTCTGTGATTCTGTGATAGGTTGGGAGGGGAGAGGGGGAGAAAAGGGGGAAGGGGAGATAAATAAATAGAGAAGCTTGTGAAATAACTTGTCTTATAATAAAAAAGGAAAATTTTAATATATTCCATCCTAAATTCTTTCACATTCAGTTCTGCAAGTTCAAACGTCTACAACATTAAGTTCAATTATGTAGTCACTAGCCTATATATTCTGCCAACTATACTATGACTATATATATATATATATGTATATTCACTTATTCCAGGCTTTTCAGAAGCAAAAGTGTGTTCTCCTCCTTTACTTTTCTGACCCCAAAATGTTAGGTCTTCCTTTTGTTCCTATGGTTAGCACCAAACATCTTCAATATTTTTCTTTCTTCTCCAGCAACAAGCAAAAAATCATTATTTAAGCAAGTGCACAC